ACAGCCCCACCTCGCCAAACTACAGCCCGGCCATCAGCCCCGACGACAGCGACGAGGAGAACAACTGAGGGGCTGCGGAGAAGAAGCGGTTGAGAGCGGACGGCGCCTCGAGGCCGCTCGCCTTTTTCACCGTGGCAGCATTTTCTCTTGGCCTTCGCTTCCCCAAACTATTACTGGAAAGAAACTGCTCAACCTGAAGGCAGGGGTTTGCCGTTTTTCAGTAGTTTTTTTTTTTTTACCCACCCGCACCAGGCAAAACCCAGAAAGAAGGTGACAAGGAAAAGAAGAGCTGGTTCATTTTTTTTTTCCTTTTAACTTTCCAATTCACTGCTTTCGGCCTCTGAAGTGTTGTGGGCGTCAAGCTGTTCTGCAAAGGCCAACGTTTTGCCCAAAGCCTTTTCAGAACAAGGACTGTCATTTGCTCCGGCGATGAATGGAGGAACGGTTCACCTTACCCCTGCCAGCCACCACCCGCCCTCCCCTATTTTTTTGTTTGTTTGTTTATAGCTTGTATGGCACGGGAGCAATCGCGCCTGACCGTGCGTCATGCATCCTCCCAGCTTTGTCCTTCACGCCACAAAGACTGAATGATGTCTTAAACAGCCACCAGCACCTTCCCACCCTCTGGCATCTCGCAGGCTTTTGCATCAAAGGCAAAAAAAAAAAAAAAAGGATGTTCCCTTTGCGCGGGGAATTATTTTTTTTTTTGTCTTCATTTTGACATGATGAAGAAATGGGCAGTGCTTTGGGCATCTTTTGCATGGAGGTGGCGCGTGGGGGGGTAATTAACACGTTGATCCAACTGTTTAGGTTGAAATATTTCCAGACCCTGCTGAGGTTTGCCCTGTTTTTATTCAACTCTTTTTGACTATTCCATTTATTTAATGACCGAAGGTTAAATGACTATTCCGTGTGAATAATATTTTGTCTTTTTGCTTTTTTCGCGCCTTTTGGTGACTCAAGTTCAGATGGATAACGACGCAAACGCCTGAATTGTCCCAAGTTGTGACCCGACGTGGTCGCCATCGGTCCTCCTCTCGTGTTCATGTTGATGAAGCAGCCACAAGATAAAGTGGCTTCAACGTGACTCCCTTTTCCAGATATTGTCTCGTTCATTTAACAAGGTTGACTTCCTTACCTTTTCCGCTCTCCAGCCACTTATTTTTCTTAGCGATGTCTGGAGGAATCTGGATTCTGACGGGGGGGGGGAGGGAATCCCGAAAAGAATAAATGTTAAGCGGTGAACGTCGCTTGCTCCTCGCAAAAATTGGAGAGGATGCCACCTCCTGGCTTTTTGTAATAAAGCTTTTTTTTTTTTTTTTTTTTGGTTTGCTTTTTTTTTCTCCACTTGGTTAACTCGTGTGTCCACTTAACTTGCCTTGTCGTGGGCACTGTCCAGTCTGTTGAGAAACATGAGCTTTGTACGAATGGGCGTCCGAGGGCAAGACAGGGTTTCATGCAGAGGAAGAAAAAAACGTCAACGTGCCGCTCTATAGAAATTATTTCACAATCTCACTGTGTCGTTCTCTGTTCTGTTTTTGACTTGGGGAAAAATAAATAAGTTTTACAATAAATGTGTGGTGTTGGTTTTTTTTTAATTTTTTAAATTTTTTTTTTTTTTTTTTTTTTTGTACTGGATGGCACGCTTGTCCCGTATTTAGCTACTGGCTAAAAATGGTCATTCCTAACCACTGTTGACATCACATCCACAAAACCGCTGACGCAAACAAGAAAAACGGTTCACCCCAAAGATTTGAAAATCATTTTTTGGAAACGAAATAATCATCGTGAGCTGCTTCGCTTCCAAGAAAACGACCGCGTGTTCCACCTGCATCTCACACAAGAGGTCGCTGTTGCCTTGCGTACAAAGAAATGGTTCCACGAGGGATTTTAGATTTTATTCCTTTTTTTTTACTTCATCGAACAAAGCGCGTTGTTATGGGTCGGAGGATTTTATATATATATGTAACGGAGTGATATATTGTGTTTATTAAATTACCGCGGAAGTGACGCAACAGCGCACAGTATGGCATTAGCTTCCGCCGTAGTTCAGGCAGAGCTGCCAGGGAAGTCACATGGTAAGTCACGTTTCATTGACGGTCCGGATTCATTTATAGTTTAATTACAATATTTAACTTTGTTTTTCCTTTTTCTACGGTGCTATGTCTTTAATTAGTTCCCTGATTTGTCCCAAGTCCAAATCGCTTTTTATATTGTTATTTAATTTTACGTTTTGTCGAATGAAAGTTTTTACCCGTTGAGTTAATAGTGCTTTTCTGTTACTCAGCTATGTCCGACACCAAACGTGACTTCACCATTCCCTGCTATACTGTGTTTCAGGTAATGTTTGTCGGCACCGTGGTCGATTGGTTTGCGCGTCAACCTCACATTGCAGAGGTCCCGGGTTCAATTCCAGCTTCGGCCTCCCTGTGTGGAGTTTGCATGTTCTCCCCGGGCTTGCGTGGGTTTTCTCCGGGTCCTCCGGTTTCCTTTCACCTTCCAAAACCATGCATGGCAGGCTTATTGAACACTCTAAATCACAGGTGTCAAACTCCGGTCCTAGAGGGCCGCTATCCTACATGTTTTCAAAGTCTCTCCGTTGCAACACACCTGATTCAAATGATCAGATCATCAGCAAGGTCTGCGGAAGCCTGACATTGAACCTGTTCATTTGAATCAGGTGTGTTGCAACAGGGAGATTGGAAAACATGCAGGACAGCGGCCCTCCACGACCTGAGTTTGACACCCCTGCAAGTCTAAATTGTCCCTAGGTGTGCGTGTGAACGTGGATGTTTGTTCATCTGTGTGTGCCCTGCAATTGGCTGGCAACCGGTTCAGGGTGTCCTCCGCCTACTGCCCGAAGATAGCTGGAATAGGCTCCACCGCGACCCTTGTGAGGAGAAGCGGATCAGAAAATGGATGGATGGATATAGCGAGAGAGAGAGAGAGAGAGAGAGAGAGAGAGAGAGAGAGAGAGAGAGCACGCTGCTCACAAAAAAAGGGAACACTCAGAGATACATTGTGTTGCTTACGTTGTTTAAATTGAAGCGTGTTGCTGATGTAAGCGCCATCGTGCTGTCTGAACACGTTCAGGAATGAGCCATTCAAAGGCTAATCTCAAGTGTTCCTGCAGCTCTGTCGCTGTCGTAGTCACAGTAATAGAACTTTTTACCGGAGTTTGACGTATCAAATGGCACCTTGTCAATTGGGCGATACTGTCGTGGAAACTGATGTCGTCGCTCAGTCCCCTGAAATGGGAGCGCGATTCGATCGCCGCGATCCGGCCAAATAAACGAGTTCAACGACTCCCTTCAATCAGATTGGTGGTGATTTGTGTTCGAGGCAGGGGAGCTGGGCCGGGCATGCAGGAAATATGCGGTCTGCGTGTGCGTCATTGTGTCCCAAACACACACAAATTCTTTCTCTCGCCCACACAAGCGCTCTTTCCTCCACTCCTTGCCTGTTTGGTGCCGCAGCGCTCTTTTCTATCCAAGGTAAGCCCTTCAACCTTACTCGTCAAACCACTCGTTGTTGGATACTTTCTTTTCTCGGCCTTCATTTCCTCGTTTGCTCGTCGTAGCGGTTCTTCCGTCCTCTGAAGTGTTGCGACAGGAGGATGAAAAGAGTCAGACATTTTCCGTGCAAAGCTGCTTCACTTTTTTGTTGGTTCTTTCACAGCACTTAATGTTGACATCTTGGTTGTATTTTTTTTTTCCCTCGGCTGCCGCTTCAAATTTGCTGAAAGTGAGGGCGTGGGAGGCTTGTTCTCCACTGCAACGATTCCCAAGAATTCTTTATTTTTCAACTGGTTGTTTTTATTTCATCCATCCATTCATTTTGGAATCCGCTTCTCCTCATAAGGGTCGCGGGCATGCTGCAGGCTATCTTCGGGCAGCCGGCGGGGGACAACACCCTGAACCGGTTGCCAGCCCGTCGCATGCCACACATCGACAACCAACCATTCACGCTCACACCTCGGGATAACTTCGAGCGTTCAATCAGCCTGCCAAGCATGTTTTTGGAATGTGGGAGGAAACCGGATTACCCAGAGAAAAGCCACGCAGGCACAGGGAGAACATGCAAACTCCACACAGGGAGGCCGGAGCCCAGAATCAAACCCACGTCTGTTGTGCTGTGAGGCGGACCTGCTAACCAATCGACCACGGTGCCGTCCTGTTTTAATTTCAATCACACAAACATTTTTACGACAATTAATGTGTCAATCGACATCAGAGATGTATCGTGTTAGCGCAAGAGCAATGGATAAAGTATATCGTCGGTACAAAGTGTGTGACAGAGTACCGATCCAAACTTAGTGTTTGACAACATACATCAATAATCATGCCAGCAAAATAGACTGACAGCTGTGGGGGTAAAAAGCAGGATGTCAACAGATGCTAGTCAATCATTTTCAACAACGACGACACTGTGCCTGTACCCGATTCGTTCTTCTTCTTTCAAATTTCCACCATCTCAAACTAAATAAGTACACCGGCATCTAGTTGTGGAATGTGAGCTGATTCAAAAGAGCGTCCCGCGACTCTCTCCGGGATAAGCCGTGTTGAAAATGAAGGAATGGAAGAGCGTTGGAGCAAAAGAGAGTTATTACCTATCCCCCAAAAAATACATAAATCTGCAAAGTAGCAGGACTGCGAACCTGGAAGACACGATGGAAGGGGCTTTATAGTTTCATTCCCTCACCCAATAACAATCCATCGGGAATCAGATGGATGAGCGGCATCGCTCAACGTTGCCCAAATTCCTTTGCCTACAGACACCGTTCACTCTTACATTCGCACCACGTGATGTTCGACGATGATACGATGGAAAGCGGCAAAAGTGAAACGCTCCGAATATTTTCCTGGGCGCACAGAAGGTTGGGCAACGCTCGTACGCTAAATGTTGAGGCTCAGCGAAGACACGAAGCCGCTGTCCCCAAAGCGCTTGTATCTAGGAACCCGACCCTACCACAACTCCATCCTCCCCCGCTTCCGCCCCAGGTAGGCTTTCACCGCAGCGGCTTCGGTTACGTCCCACCCACTGTATGTTGCAACCGAGCCAGAACGGATGAGCACAAACTCCTCGCCGGAACCCCTCCAGCCGACTCCTCTCAACCCGTTGAGGATGGAGTCCGAGTCGGACAGCACGGCACCGGGCCACATCATCCAGTTGAGTGCATCTTGCTCTTCGCCAAGGGATGATGACTTGAATCTTCTGGGGATGGGGGGGGGTGAGGTCATTTACTGTTCCAGTATTGATAGTCGACGTAGATCCGCGCCCTTTGGCCTGTGCACTTACTCGAACGAGGCTCCTTGTTTATCTCTTTCGGCCGCAGCCCGGCGCCTCCGTTGGAGCGAAACGCAAGCTGCTGACTCCTATGATCGCTGTGGTGTCATAGAAGTCTGTCTAAATATTTATTGGAGCCTCTGCGCGGCAAAACGATAAGGACTTGTATCTCCTGGCTAGAGCGTTTTCATTATCCCACATAAGGAGAGGTTATGACTCATTGTTGACTCCGCTGTTGCCCAACGTTTATTGGGCCAGGCACATCTTTCACGCCCCGCAGCGCAATCAACCGCCCGACCAAAATATCACAAGAGCTACTGTGTGTACATCCTGCGAGTATGTCATTTAAAAAAAAAAAAAAAAAAGAACCAAACGCTTTGTAGACAAAGGTTACGATTCAAATCATCCCCATCAGACGTCATCCAAAGAGGAAGTCGGGTGGAGAAGTGAAGCCGCGGTCTGAATGTGACCACGTGGTCAAAATTACGCGCTTTCACTTCTCCCCGCGCCCATCCAAGGAAGTATCCTTGACATCTTGGGATGTCCCCTTTTTCGATCCGTTGTCTTGCGGGCACGGCAAAAGGGCCGGCACGTCGATCGGTCGACGGTTTGGATGTTCCAATCTCGCCTTCCTTCCACACTACAAAAACATGCACGTCGGGATCGGCGAAGACCGAATCCTCCAGCGAGCGTCAGCACGCGTTTGTGTGGATGCGCCGCGCGACCGGCCCGGCGGGGCGCATCCGGAGCCTGGCCCAAAGTCCGACCCGAATGAGGACGAGCGATGGATGAATGCCTTTGGTTTGGTGCAGGACAGCGTCATCCAGCTCCGCGTCTCTTCGCGCAGCATGCTCCCCTTCCAGGCCGTCGCGGGGCAGTTCGGTCCGGAGGTGCGAGTGCCGGGCCTGCGCGTGTGGAGGGTGGAGAAGATGAAGGCTGTGCAAGTGCCCGCCTCCCAGGTGGGGGTCTTCTACAACGGCGACTCCTACCTGGTCCTGGACAACCGCGGAGAAGAGGGGAGCGACCTCCACATGTGGATCGGTGGGCCTTGACACTCGCCGGATGCCGACGCGGAGGGCGCCTCTTAACGCCGCTGCGCTTTCCGTTCCGATCCAATTCAGGCGAGAAGTCGTCACACGACGAGCAGGTGGCGTGCGCCATGCTGGCCATCCAACTTGACAACTTCCTGGGCGGAGACCCCATCCAGCACAGGCAGGCGCAGGGCTACGAGTCCCCACAGTTCATGAATCTCTTCCCCAGAGGTGTCAGCTACAAGGTCTGGCCTGAGGGCACCCACTTCTTTGACAAGTTTTGCACGCTTTCGGGGAAAGCCGATCGTTCCGTTTGTCCATCTCCACCCTCACGTTGGCTGAGCTCTTTTCGTTGACGTGCCGCAATGCCTTGCCGTTTGGCGCAGATTCTCAGCCACACGCCGGAAATATATTTCCAAGACTGAACACAGCCTTGACAAGCGAATTAAAAAAAAAGCTTACTTTCATTTGAAAGCGGATTTAATTCGAGTCGCAGGGTTGCAAATCGGTGCGAGAGATTCCTCAAGCGTACGCGCTCGTTGCGTTCGCCGCTATGCCGACGGCTCAAGAAACAAACGTAGCGATCTCATTGAAAAAACAAAACAAAACCCCAAAGTCATCCAGCCAAGACGTGAGGAAGGCATATATAGCGTTTGCACGTTCTCCCCGTAGCCGCATATCTGAGGACAACGAGAATACAGCCTTCCAAACGAGGTCACGCTTCTGAATTTTGTGCACGCAACATTTGAAGTTTGATTGTTTCGCGGGACGCCCCGTATCCCGTACCAAGAGGAGCTTTTCTTCACAGGATGGAGGGGTGGAGTCGGGGTTCAGGAAGCCTCGGGGCTCGGCGGCGGCGGCGGCGGTGCGGCGCTTGTACCAGATTAAAGGCAAACGCAACATCCGTGCGAAGGAGGTGGAGCTGTCCTGGAAGAGCTTCAACAAGGGCGACTGCTTCATCTTGGACCTTGGAGAGGTGAGGACCGGAAGTGGCCAAAAAAAAAAAAAAAAATCAAGAAATGTACCCGCACGTGTACTTAGGTCGAACAGAAACATAATTTGTCAGGTCAATAAAGAAATAGTAAGAAGAAGAAGAAAAAGACCGGGAGTGACTCAACTCCTTCATATATAGAGGGCTCCGTCACGTCGTGTATGGCTTGTTCATAACAGCCCTCCAATATGGCCGCCGGTAGTGCATTGTGGGTAACTGCTAAAAGGACGGAGGGAGCCCTCTATATGGACTCCGAGTCAGAGGCGATTGCTCTAAGACTGCAAGGGAAGCTCAGCTTCCCCTAAAATGTCAAAAAGTAAGTGATCTACAAATATACGTCTACGTACAATTGTGTGGACACGTCATTGACTAAATATGCGCTACAACGTGCTCAACTTTTGTTCCGAACCAGCTTCTTATGACTGGTTACGACGCGATTCTCTTCTCATTCATTCCCGCATCTTCTCTGTGCTTTCAACTGTGTGGACGCTGCGCGTCGACAAAAAAAACGGAGAAGTAAATAAATGAATAACAAGCCGATGTTGACAATGTGAGGATTACAAAGCACAGATGGCTGTGCGGACGCAGACAGGAACAGACAAAATTTGCCGGAAAAACAGAGACTCAAGCGAAGCACCCGTCGCCGCCCGCAGGTCATCGTGTCCTGGAGCGGGTCGCAGGCCAACGTCTTTGAGAAACAGAAGGTGCGGGAGATCGCCTCGCTGATTCGCGACGCCGACAGACACGGCAAAGCTCGCATCGTGGACGCCGGCGAGGGGGAGGAGCCCGCCGAAATGCTTGAGGTAAAGTCGCCGAGCTCCCCCGCACAGAATTTAACGGCAAAGCTGACGAGCGTCCAGGCAAGCGCGATGCTTTCCGAACAGGCTTTGGGACCGAAGCCCGAGCTGGCCGAAAGCACGCCGCAGGAGGACAGCGAGGCGGACGCCTCCAACGCGGCCTCCCTCTACAAGGTCAGCGGCGGCATGCGGGCGCCCAAGTTTCCAAACAGCGCCATCAGCGCCACGCCTTCTCCGACAGGTCTCCGACGCCACCGGCTCCATGTCGCTGACCAACGTCTCGGCCAAGAGCCCGTTTGCCAAGGAGCTGCTGCTTCGTGACGACTGTTTCGTCCTGGACAACGGCGCCAACGGGAAGATTTTCGTGTGGAAAGGTGACCGCTTGGAAGTCGAGCGGGGCAGAGCTTCCGCGGCTACGCTTCATTGGGAAGCCCGTTCACAGGTTCACCCAAAACCTTCACGGCGCGACGGGAGCCGCGGTTTCAGCGGCACAACTGAAAGCGGTTTGCATTTTAAAATGCTGTCTGGGTAAAAAATGTTTGCACGACGATAAACAAAGACATGACCTACGGGTCTCGAAAGACTTTCCGTAATGTGCGGGTACCGTTGTGCGGTCGTAGCACCCAATGACAGCTGGGCGACAATGTGCGGAGTCAATCCGGCAGAGATCAAGTGATCGGTGGTGCGATACGATACGAGTGACGGTTGTGCCGCTGGTGCACCGTTTCGAAATGGGCTGTCACTCGTATGGCGCTTTTCTACCTCGGGTACTCAAAAGCGCTTGACCGTGTTACCTCATTCACCGCTCTACCACTGAGCCATGCCGTCCCCGGCCGCAGTAATGGTCGTCCAACTTGAGGTGAGCAGTTATGCCAAAAGTCCTTGCGGGCTTGAGCGCGTCTGCTGCTGTGGAATATTGATCAACGGCAATAGTTCAGGTACGTGGAGCCAACCATCAGTGCGGTAATGCTGGTCCACAGGGGGGTGGGTGCAAAATTTGCAAAGAGCCACTATGGATTGCTGAGGGAGTTCAGGGCGAGAGGGAAGAAGCCGTTGGAATGTCTGCTGGTTTCGGTCCGCACGATTCAATAGCGCTTACCTGAAGGGAGTAGCTGGAAGAGGTGGTGGGCAGGGTGTGGAGGGTCCGGTCGGATTTTCCATGTCCTTGTCTTGGTTCTTGCGGCGTGCAAGTCCTTGAGAGCGAGTAGGGTGGTGTCAATGATTGTTTTTCCCGCAGTCCTAACTGTCCGTTGCAGTTTGATTTTTTTTTCAAGCTTTTGCATCAATGTCAGGTCATTCTATTCAATATAAAAAAGAAAATATATCCACCCTAATCCCAATAATATGTGGCAGGAGTCGGGGCCAACGCGGAGGAGAAGCGGGTGGCCCTGCAGATGGCCGACAAGTTGATTGAGCAGATGAACTACTCCAGGATGAAAACTCAGGTGCGGCACACCGCCATCGTTTCCCTCCAGCTCCTACTGTCTTCTATCGCCTGCTCATGCAGTTTCGTTTGTTTGTTTTTTTTTTTTTTAACGATCACTTTGAGAAAAAGGTGGCAAAAGTCCTCACACTCTGTGTTGACGTTGAAAACGTGCACGAGAGAGAAAGGGGGCGGGGAGAGACCAGACTCCAATATGTAGCTTAAGTACAAAAGTAACATTTTTTTTCATTCAATGATATACAATAACCGTTTTTATAACTGCACAAAAAAACATATCGTGAGGATAAAAAAAAAAAAGAAAAAACACATTGTGATGACAGAAGGTTGTACGGTCACAAAAACAGTGGTACTGCGATGAGAAAATGTCATGTTTTGAGGAGAGAGCATTATGTCATGAGAAAAAAACGATGATAATATTCCGAGACGCAATGGCACGGCAAGCGGTCATATTGCTACAAGAAAAATAAATCAAAGTGAGGCAGTAAAATTCATAACTCGATGACAAAAGTTGTCATTTGAAATGGTTCAGATGGTTACCCCCCCCCCCCATACTGTCATGTTGTGAGAAAAAGTTGGACCATGATTCGTATCACTCGCAGAAAAGGTTATAAGGTTACAAGGAAAAGAAAAAAAACTCTCCGTCATAAATTGACGAGGAACATGATCAAATTCTTACTGGAAATTTACGAGAAAAAGTCTTACGCTTACGAGAGCAAGATGGAAGATTCCAAGTATTAATCTGAGAAAAGATCGCCGTGTTATCAGAAAAAGTTGGATTATTCTGCAGAAAGGTTGTAGGGAATGAAGAAAAAGTCTTTGAAGTGATGTTCAGAAAAGTCGGATTGTTTGAAAGGAAAACGGTCATGTTATGAGAAGAAGGTGCAATGTTACAAGGGAGCTCGTTGTTTTGCGGGAAAACGTCAGAACATTTGAAAAGTAGCAAACAAAAACAATTCCAAATGGAGAACAAGTGAAAAAAAAAATGGACTGGGCTCTCCGTTGTTTCGCTTCAGGTGGAGATCCTGCCACAGGGGAAGGAGACCGTCATGTTCAAGCAGTTTTTCAAGAACTGGAACTAACCCAAATTGGAAATAGCAGCGCTCAAGAGAAAAACCAACACCATTTTTTTTTTTTTTTTACGCATTGACTGAAATGTACAAAAGGTACAGGCCATGTGTAGCTTTGTGATGTCACTTTCACAAATGGAACAGGATTCTTCTGTTGGTCAAATAAAAATGCAAAAAGAAAGTGGGGTTTTATTTCCGATTTTTGACAGTTACAGTTTGTCAGCTGTGTTGGACTCTGGCTCACGTGCAATCCAAATGAGGACAAACCCTATATTTAAAAAAACAATAAAAACATTGGCATGATGGTTGGTTTTACACACAGACACGCACGCACGCACATAAACGAACTTCTGATTCTGTAAGGCTCAGTCACGTTGGCCAAGTCCAGCCACTGTAAACTCACATTGTGCGTCACACTCGGTGATCGCCAAGGCTTTATTGTCTCAGCTGTAAAAGATCGTTCCTTGCCATGCATGTGTGTGCGTGTGTGTGTCTGTGTGTGAAGGTGGCATGCGGCTTCAAGGTAGCCAGGCAAGTGTTAATAAATCAAGGGTCCAAAGATCAGGAGACACTCCATCAAAACGACAAGACAGGCAGCAGAGGTCAACCAGTTGTCATCTGCAGCTGCTGAGCTTCACCGCCGTTTACTCCGACTACAGGTACTCCTCCTAATTGCCAGTTATTCATGTTCTTTTTTTTTTTTTTTTTAATCCTCAGGACTCAACTGATTTTACAATTACAATTTACAGAGAAACATAGTAAGTTGAAAGATTGTTTTCTTTTTTTTGGCAAAAGTACCAAAACCGAAAAGAATCGGAAATAATTCTGATGTTTTGTGGTTGACCTGGCGAGAAGTCTATTTTTTGTTGTCATCTGACTTTTTATTGTCTAAATTTAGACGTGTATGCGACACTTGTTTAGTGCAATTTTACGGAGTTGTGAAAGTGAATGCTTAAAAAAATTGCAAATCAAAGTATTTAGTCAGGTAACAAGTCTACTTGAGGTAGATTTGTGGTTTATTTGCCTTTATTTTATCGGAAGCCTAACCGATAAGACCACATTTGTGTAAAATAAATGTGCTCATTGTTGTCATAATACAGACAAACCTGTGTTTGTTAAACAAACACCCAAAAAAATCCCACATGGGAAGAGGGCCCTTGAAAAAAATGATTGCAGGTTAAATCGCAATCTTGAGGGATGAAAAAAATAGCTATTACAATATTCCCCTAAATCGCTCACGCCAACTAGTTTATAAGTAGCTTGATATCTAAGGAACTAGATATCGAACTAGCTAGATATCTAACTACCTCCATGTGTAAAATTGCGAATATTTATTCGAACGACAGTGCTAGTGAGATATTTGACTATGCTAACCCATGTACCGACTAGCTAGCTAGCTAGCTAGCTAGCCGCTCGCTTTCCCGAGGAGCCACGAGACGTCGATGGAGATGAAGAGCATTTTGAAATCGGACAGAAGTAAGTTTCGAGAGCCGCCGGGCTCGGGAGCCGATGTGCGCGACGCCACGCGGCGCTGACCAACTAACTCGGCCTCTTCAGAGAACGTCTCGCTGCTGAAGGCGCAAGAGCACAGCACCAAGCAGAGCAGCTCCATCGGGGCCCTGCGCTGGTGCTTGCCCGAGGAGGACATCCAGGCCCACAACTCGGCCCCCAGCAGGCCCGTCGCCAGCGGCAAACTCACCGGACACTCGCACGTCAGTCAGCAAACACTTTTGATTTTTTTTTTTGCTCATCCGCGTCCGCAGTGTGTTTGAAACGCAGATTCGAACGCGTTTTGAGCGCGTCTCAAGCGTTCAAAGTTGCACGTGGATGTTTGCCGCAGACGCAGCAGCAGCCTCGCCAGAGTAGCCTGAAGGATCTGCGCAGCCTGCAGGAGTGCGTGCAGTTCCTCCAACACTGGAAGGAGCAAGTGGACCAGGTTTGCAAGGTACACCAGTTGGCCAGAACCGATCGATCGGCCCTTCCTCATTATGGCCGCCGACGCGCCAGGCACGCCAATCTGTACAAATAGCCCGTGAAATGAATGCTGGAGCGACCCGAAATGTTGGAGAATTCATTCAAATGGAAGGAATGTTCCACGTGAGGCAGGGGGAAAAAAATCGGAACTCATTCTGTGGAAGGTTACAAATTTTTACCACCGACAAATGATGCCGTTGCGCATGTCAACATTGACAAAAAAAAACAAACCCATTAGATTACGACTTCTTGCGTGGAAGTAATTTGTTCTTGAAAAGTTACTTTATTTTTGTAAGATTAAATTTTTTAAAATCGCAACAGGAAAAATAATAAAATGACAACTTTTTTTCCCCCTGGAAACATACAACTCTCCTCATGAGATGACAATATTTGCTTTTGTTTAGATTTAAGTGTTTTTTTGTTCCTTGAAAACAAAGACATATTTGTTGTTTTGACATGATGACGTTTAAAGCAAACAAAATATTCCTTTGTTGTTAAATACAAATACTTAGTCTTCTTAGATTATGAGTTATTGTCCAGAAAAACGAAGTACTGTATATTTTTTCTTAAATTAAGATGGGATTCCCGTAAAATGGCAAATGCTTAACCTGATGAAAAAAAAAAGACAAATTGTTTCTGTAAAGATAACAGGAAAAAAATAATTCATTCAATCAAAATATGTCTTGATGCGTGCAAAGATAACTTTTTTTTCTTGGAAAAAAACAGATTAAATTCTTGTAAAGTTGTGACTTTTTATTACGACGTTACTCTCACAAAGATTACTTTTTGAAAAAAAAATACTGTACAATATCCTGACAAAATAGGTCTTTTTCATCGTCCGGAAAGTATAAATCTCAGCTGAGCGAATGGCATTTAGGGCTACCGAAAGGAAAAAAGTGGCCGTCGATCCATGCGAATGCATTCCAAGCCAATTGACCAAATGGCGTCGTCACTGTTGTGCTTGTGCAGCGTGCCGTTTCCGTTCCGGAGCCGACGACCAGCAACGCCGCGAAGTCCGACTCGCGGACCGAGCGCAGTCTGGAGGAGAGCCGTAAACTCATCTTGGAATGGGCCAACGAACTTCGTCACGTGGACAAAGTCCGTCCTCGCACCGCCAACCTGATGGGCGACGTCTCGCAAGAGAAGCCTCACGCGTTGACTCAGGTCGTGGAGGGCAAGCCCTGCTCACCTGAGGCTGAAGAACCCAACAAGGACTTAGACGCCAACGAGGACGCACAACTGAGGGTGATGGAGTGGGCCAAGGAGGTACAGAAGGTCTCCGAGGTGAGAAACCGCTTTAAAAAAAAATCACACTCCACCCCCATACACACTCAAGTCAGTTGACAAGCTTCACGTCGTCTCGTCATGCAGTTGATCATGATGGGGCATCTATGCTAATTTCACCGAGCCAGTCTATGGTGTTTTGCATTATATGTTAGCATGAAGCTAACTGACTTTCGGCTTTGACAAAGTTATCGTGGCATCCGAATGCCAGGCGGCACGCCGTTGACTGGTTAGCACGGCCGCCTCGCAGTGCATGGTCCGGTGTTCGATTCAGGGGCTTCTTGTGTGAAGTTTGTATGTTCCCACCGTGCCTGCGTGGGTTTTCTCCGGGTACTCCCACTGTGCTCCCTCATTCCAAAAACATGCACGGGAGGTCAATGGATCACTTGAAATGGTGAGCACGAATGGTTGTTATTTGTCTACCTTGCGACTGGCCGGCAACCGGTGGAGGGCGTACCCGGCCGATTGCCCGAAATCAGCTGGGATAGGCTCCGGCACACCCACGACCCTCCTTAGGACAAAGCGGCTCAGATAATGGATGGCTGGAATCTTGATGCTGGGGAACCAAGTTGATGTGAGCTGAGAAGCTTCATGTTACGTCGTCGTGTCCTTCATCAATATGTTGCAGCCATGCTAATTTCACTGAGCCGGTCTATGGTGTTTGGCGTTTTGTGTTAGCATCAAGCTAGCGGACATTTGAATGACAGAAAGGTTTGGGGCATCTCAATGCCAAGGAACTATGTTCAAGTGAAGTGATGACTGGCGCTATGTGTGTTAGAATCAAGCGAGTGGAGTTTCCATGTCAACAAAAAGTATGTTTTGTTGAATTGTTTTTTTCTCAGAGCTGCGGGGTGCACAGCGACGAGCTGGGCAAAGTGCTGCGCCTGCTGGGCCTCAAGAAGAAGCGACTGGTCAGCCTGCTGCCCCTGCTGGAGTTCATCACCTGGTCGCTCCTCATGGAGGACAGCGTGGTGAGCGCACAATTGAGTCGTGTGGAAATTTGGGAAAGATCAAGAATGAGGAAATTTGAAAAAAAAAGAAAAAAAAAAAAGAAATAAACAAGTCCGTTTGTTAAGAGGTCACAAAGCAATAAAAGGCAAGACCGAGTTCTCAGAGGTCACAAAGCAATAAAAGGCAAGACCGAGTTCGGAGTCATAAAGCAAGCTGATAAGGCGCCATTTATGTAATGCCACAGCGACGTGTGCGTGCGTGAGCGCAATAAATGAGTCAGGTCACTCTGTTTATATAAGTGCCGATAACCTACGACACAGTTGCCCTTTATTGCCCATCCCTCACGATGAATCTCGGAAATACCCATGGGCAAACTTTTGTCATAGGATTTTTTTTTTTTTTAAACCAACCAGGATATCAGTCGATGAGGTACAAAATATATCAATGGGTGAAAAATGTTCAAATGTGTGTGTCAAAAACGTGGACCATACCGCTAACCGGTATCGCTGCCCTATTTGGAGGTACTGTATCGGTTCTTCGTGGAGATGCCGATACCAGCCAACGATACTTGAGGCAAAACCACCCCAAAAAAAAAAGCAAATTTGAGATGGAGTAAGTCTTCCTTGGGCACTAGCTGGTTCTATCCTGCAACAGATTGACACAGTGGCCGAGTCGTCATCTGCGTCACAAAGAAAGGTCTTTGTTCCTCTTTTTTAGGCACTGTGTTCAAGCGGACATTGCGAATGTACTCGAGGTATCGGTACTCAAAGGCTGAATACTCATATTGGTATCGGTCTGAAAAAAACAAACGGTATCGAACAAGCCTGAATCAAACAATACCGTCCTTCACTTAATGTTGTCCGTTTTGCCCACAATCAAAGAAGGTCAAGGACAACCGGATTTAATATGCTCATTTCGTTTCGGGCACGCATTTGATGCAGTGCCCCAAGTGGGCCATTGCACTTTGCCATTATTGGGCTTGTAAAGTTTTTTGGTTTTTGTTTTTTTATTGGCTCGGGTCAAAGATTTACAGTTTTGCTGGGAAGTAGGGTAACTAACGTGCTTGTTTATTTATTTATTTTTATTGTTCTTTTTTTTTAGGGGACAATCCCGCAGTTATGGTTGCCGGTAAAGCAGCGCACGTGGAAAGCGGGGACGTCCCGATACATCCCCAACTCGGGTAGCTTTTCATTTCACAACCGCGCGGCCCCGATTGATTTGACGCTCTGAGCGATGGCCGTTTGTATCAACTTGCGCCCTTGTTGTTTGCAGTTTGGAGTTGGATTTGCAGCGCAGAAGGTAAGGCCGACAAGACGCGCGCGCCCGTCAGCTGCTTGCCGAGCGCATAACGCGGCCGCGGTGGGAAAAGTTAGGGAGACTTCGCCCGGGTTATTCTCGTTCACGAAAACCAATGAGACGACGACAACTAAAATGGCAGAAAAAAAAAAAACACGCCATGAAGAAACTCAAACCAAAACGCTTTTAAATCAACCAAACGGAACTGAAACTACATCTGACATACGTAAAGCTCATGAAAACAAAATATGTTGCGTTATTATGGTGAAAATGTCCGTTTTTTTATTTATTTTTTGT